ATATATATATATATATATATATATATATATATAGTAATTCATAGTCCAATTTTTCTCGTGATTTAATGATTCTTTCAAATTTAAAAAAATTGCAACACTTCATATTTATATCTATCTAATCTTGCTTATTGATGCTGATCGTTTTGAGGAATGGTTTCACAACAATTTTCAAAGGCTCATTAAATCTGTCGTACAGTAAAATGGGTGAACTGATGAAAACTGGCGAGTTTTTCATGATTTATTCTGAAGTTCCTAATATGAGTGAGTACAATGCTGAGTATGCATCAAAGCTCTCTACTAATAGGAAAGGCTCACCAGATGATGACACCACAAGCAGTGGCCAGGGAGGTTGTTTATTTCTACAATTTAGTAATATACTATGCGACATTCATCTCTACATATTATGATTTGGCTTTAATTCACTTTTCGCTTCTATTACTTCGAACTATTTGCATTTAATACAGGTAATAGCATTGTCAGACGATCACATTCAACAACGAGCATTCACCGACCAGTGAAACGGCCACCACCACTTCAAGGACATTTTCGACGCGATAATACCCTTAACAGAACTGCAAAAAACTCTTGAGTTTTTGTAACAATTTGTAGATTTAAATACGCCGAAATGGGTACATATGACCTTTAAAGGCATTTCAATCAGTGTACAACATCATCATGTCCATATCTTCGAACACCTAGAAACCAACTGAACTAACTTTCAGATCAGTCTACATAAACAGAAATGTGGAAACCCCAGGAGCTGACAACGTAAAGTTGTGTACTTCATTTGACTAAATGATCACCTGCCACTTCGTACAATCCTGAAAGGTCGTCTTAGCAAGAAATAAAATTTCTGATGGCTAATACTTTTTATAGTTTTCTAAGAACTTTACTTGTCGAAAACAACTGATAATCCATGTAATGTTATTTATCTATACTTTTATAACAAACAGCAAACAGACCAAATCAGCGGAATGTCACTGAAAATTTAAAATCCTGAACAATTTCATGCAAAAATATACAACTATTTTCCAAGTACACCAGTTTTCAGAAGCATCTGACTCCTACACTCTCAACATTAAAAAAAAGTCCAACAATTTTTCTAAATTGTTGGAGAACAAAGGCTAGACAATCTTCATATATGGTTTGTTCAATTAAGATAAAGCAAATCTAGGTAAGAAATTCAACAACGTATCTAGACCAGCCACGTGATCCTGATGTTTCTTATTCGGTGGTATCTTAAAAAAGATCGAGACACTTTTCATTGTGAGTACTGAATCATCAGCTATAGAATCCCAGAAGCTGAAAAATTTATTCTTGAAGCCAGCTTGAATTGAGACATATAACAACTTCCCTATCTATTATTTCGGGATATCGACCTTTCCATATGAAACACTTCATTTTGATGGTAGATGGAGAAGGAATGCACCTGCAAACCACATCAACTTTGTTTATTTACTCAACGGTTTCGCACAGAGCAGTAAAACTAAAAGTGATGAATAATATTGAGCTGATAGTGTGACTCAAACTTTGTTTTGAAACGGACTGATCGAATTTTATGATTTTAAAATTTAAAAGAATGGAGTCAAACCTCAAATATCTTATACTTTTCAAACTTAAATTACCAAAAAAAAAACTGCAAATACATGAATAGTCGCTTGTCATGTCACGCCAAAACTATTTCTATTACAATAAAATCCGATGACAATCAGTTAGCCAAAGTTTGACAGGAAAAGTGGGGGATTTACATCGGGTAAATTAATATTCAGAGTACCACCATGCATTTATGATATTTTTCAAGAATTCTGAGACTACAGAGCATAAAGCGAGAGAAAAACAAAACACTGCGCAATTTTGAAACCGTGGTAAATTTAATTATCCACTCCAAACTCACAGTTCTGAAAGTTAAAAAATGCATTTTTCTTTCTACAAAACCAAATCAAGGAATATATTTATGTTAAAAACAGCCACACCTAATGGATTAATACTCCAACTTTCATATTTGCTTGATAACGAAAATGTGAACTTACTGTCATTTGTATGCGAGTAGTATTTTTTTCAGTAACGCATTATATGACATTCCTTCACAAACAGTTTCCAGAAATTCAGTTAATGGCACTCTTGATTGTAAAAAACCCTACCATGATCTCACGCCTACTATTTTGAAAGCGTATCTTCTGAATGATACCAAACTTTCAATGCAGACCAATTACTAATCTTCAAAGTTTATTAACTGAATTTTGTTTTAAATCAAGTTCCTGAGCACCTGACTCTTAGTCATTAACGATTTCCACAACCAACTTTTACATGCTAAATCATGTAGTAGCTTCAACCTACATTCAGTATGACAAGGAGAGATTGCAAAGTTTAAGATTGAGAAAAACGAATGAGCTGCTTCACTTATATATTTACATCTGACTTAATTTCTTATGCAAACTGGCTTAATTCACGAAACATGTAGGGCTTTTAAACCTGGTTTCAGGGCTAGACTTCATGCTTTCATATATATATAATAGATGAATAAATTTCTCGGCTCTGCCGAGGTGCTGAGCGGCTGTCTCCGAGCTTGACTCTGAGCGGCTGTGTTCAATGAACACAAGATGCAAGCTAATAGGAAAATGTCCGCATCTAGAATCATAAATTAAAATAATGCAAAGACAGATGCGGTTGGAAAAAACTATGTGAAGGGCGTGAGAGAACATACTGCCATTGTGTCGAAATCCAGTTCCAACAGAATAATGACGCCAGGAACGTGAGATAAATCATTCTAAGTGGACGCGGAAAATAACATCGGAGAGCGTAGAACCGCCCATACTTGGAACAGTAAACCAAGCGGTGGGTGAATATGCTACACAGAATCCTCTCCAATTCAATGACTGATATTGCAAAGCAGGTCCAGGCAGCACAGCAATGTTATGAAGACATGACGGGATGAGGGAAGAAGCCATCATGATGGAAAGCAAGCATAGAAAAGTTGATAAGCTTGTTGAATTCCCACAAATCCCTCATAGAACGGACTTTGGCCGATGAAAAACTGGGAGCTAAAGACCTAAAGGAGGCCAAGAAGTGTTTGAGAGAGATGAATCTCATACTTGCTCTTAAGCGTGAGTGTCATGAAGCGTTAAGCGTACTGACAGACCGTGTGAGAGTTTATGTAAGTAAAATAAAACGTTATGAGACCAGATGTGCATTCAAAATACAAAACGCCAGATTCCAACTGTTCAGAAGACGGTTTTATAGAAGTCCGACCAAAGAATAGCCCGTAAATCACAATGTAAGGACTGAGGAAAATCTGGGATTTCTGATGATATCCAACACTACGAATAAATGGAAGAATTTGTTCCAGGTGATGAAGTGCACCATACTTTTCTCTCTGAAGCCGAATTTGGGAAGATAGTCTCCTATC